ATATGTAGTAACTGTTTACTATTGTGTGATAAGGGATGATATTACCCTGCATGACACCGCTTGCTTGTATATGCCTAGTGTTGTATGTGTGGTAGCTGTTTACTAATTGTGTGATATGAGATGAGAATACCTTGCATGAAGCCTTTTGCTTGTTTATGGCTAGTGTTGTATGTATAGCAAATGTTGGGTGTCTATTCGCGGTACCAATTTAACGGCCATGAAATGTTAAAAGTCCGATTTGCGCCAGAAGTATCCGTGCTTAGTCCTACGCTCATGGCAATTTAACTACACTTTGTGTATACCGATGTGTATGTGTATGTATATGTGTATGTGTATGTCTGTGTGTGCGCAAACATCACAGGCCGCCACTTCCCACCCCAGCAACCAACCGACGGCCACACACCGCACCACACAGAACTCAAAATCTTAGCAGGAGCGCGTGCCCAAGCAAGTATATGAACAAGGGGAGTGTATGGTGCGTGTATGCGGATCTCCATTAATCCTATATACATAGTAGTGAGTACGACCCTTGAGGCAACTTTTTATAACCGTAGAGGTAGAGATGGCCTATACATACTTTAAGCTCAAAGGAGGACGTGTGCGCGCAAGCGTGGCCTCTGACAGGTGTGACCAATGACCGGAATGTGATGGCGCATTTGTCCTGTCCACGGAGAGTATTGCTGAGCAATATGCACTCTGTCTCTGCTCAAAATAAAAGATATGCCCTGAGTGCCTGTCTACCAATCGCTTTATCTCCAAATACAACACAAGCGGGGAGTTCTTGATGACATGTACTATCGAATGAGAATGGTGTTCAATGTGTATATTGATATGAAACGGTGTCTGTGTAAAGTCTGCATACACAGGTCGTATAACTGGTACACTACCAAAAAAATTGTCTCCACGTAGACACAAATACAGTTTACGTGGCTGTTCGATGTTTTACAGTTCACAACTCAACTATCTTACGAGCGAATTTAGTAACTAGTGTTAATAGAAACTAGGGTTAGTACAGGAAATTGGCAGATATTATCGGCTTATAGCACACAAAGCCAAATATATCATGAAGTGTTCCGAATAAGAAACAATGTATAGGGATTGCTATATTTAAACCAGGCGAAAGGAATGATACCGAGACAGATTGGAGCAAAACTAGACATGCAGATAATAGCATAGCTCACAGCATAATCTCAGACACCGCAACACATAGCGAATGCTATGAAGTTCATACAAATACACTTATTCAAATGTATATGCATATGTACGCACATAGAGCGACATACATGAGTGCTAGTGTAAAGATGCGTGTTGGCAAATATATAAGTACGTAAATTGTCTGTGGTCGTGTGTGATTCATACAACGGGATTACATGCGCTTGGTAAATCACATATACATCCTACCCCCCCACCCGTCATCACCAAACCTATATTTATAAGATCACATTTTACACCCCGAGATTCATTCCCTATGTAATATTTGTATTCAATGCTATCTCAGCAATTGATTCAACTAAAACAATACTCAAACAAAATATTTGTTTCGCATACGGCACACCTTCCCTCCCAGTATCACTCGTCTGTTGTATATTAGTGTGTGTTGCAACATCGCATGATTTTCTCTCCGTTTCAGCATCTCTCCTCTCGCGTTGGGTCTGCAGCCTATCGTACAGCTGTCAGATGGGGCACAAACAAACATAATACGTTAATCAAACCGCGCCCCACTGTTATTGTATATAAGTTGTATTCTCATTCACAAAACGTATGCAACGCCGGGTTTAACGGAAATGCAACGTAGAAAGCCCATCCAAATATGCTGGCCCCTGAATTCCGGTGATTCAGCATCAGAAACACGACATATCAGTCCCATCACACAGCTGTAAACAAACCCGGCAATGAGAACTGTGTAGCCCACACACCCCCGGCAAGCACTGCAGACACACCTCGACCACACCACACACACCTCTCTGTCGGTGCGCTCCTTGACTCTTTCGATTATCATGTACCCGAATCTGATTGGTCGTCTGGCTGATCCGTGTTGCGTAGTGTAGTGGGGCAGGAATGAAATACAGGTTGGGTTGGAGAGGGAGATGCCGTCGTTACATGCGGGTTGGGTTGATATGGTTTTGAAGCAAAGTATACTTCATACAGTGCAATAAGAATATAAAGTACAATAAGAGTTCGCCGACGTACCCGTCATATGTTGATACACAAATAGGTAATGTTATATCTGTTCTCTGAGAAAAACCATGCTCTGAGGTACGTCAAAGGCCGTTTCGTAGAGCAACCAATACCCTTGATGTTGTCCTCGCCATCCTTTGACACACAGCACAAAGCGTCAAAAGCCAAGGGAAAGCGCCACGCTGTAGCGATGGATCTAGAAACCACACCATCCTCAACCCGAGTTCCCCCATTCCCAACAAACATACCGGTGCGACGGCTGGTACATTTCTATATCGACCTCCTCGCAGCCCTGTTCATATACGCACATACTCGCTGTGCTCTCAGGGGGTCGGGGGGCTTTGGTAGTGGTGTTGGGTGGCTTGCGCGTTAAGTGTTCGGTGATATCAAGGCTTTCACATGTCACCCACTCGCACTCGGTCTCAGCATCTCTCTGTCTGTTCTTACGACGGCCGGTCTTTGTGAATGGGAGTGTAGAGATTGCGGGGTTGACCAGGCTATATGTGTGTGATCTGAGAATCTTCAGGTATACGCTTATGGGGGTTGTTCTGGTTGTTACAAGAGGAATCTGAAGAGTTGTGTGCATACTGTTTTTGGTGTCGAGAGTACTACGCCAGTTTCTGAATGTAATAACCCCTGTATCTAGACGCAAGTACAACTAATATCGGCATGTATTTGCTTGCTTGCCTTATGAAAAGTGTGGCGCAAATGAGATCAAGGTCTGCGGGTTATATACTGTAAGGGCAGCTATCCGAAGATCAATGCTCTTTATATTTGAATTTCGCTGTTGAGAGTTCAGGTGCTGCATGTACTTTGTGTATGCCGTATTGTAGATTGATTTCGGCATTCATAGCTCTACAGACTGTACTATTAAACAGGAATGGTCACCAATAAAAACTCAAACACACATGTGTATAAGTAAACACATATGCACCTCGAGCACACAGGCAAACACACACACACAAACCTTTCCCGCCTTCCCCCCCCCCCCCCCACACACACCCATCTCTCTCTCTCTCTCTCTCTC